TTTTTTTTAATGGTGGTAGCATTCTTAAAATGAGCTCTCCCATTCTTCTTGCTGTGACCTTACCACCTGCTGGCTGGCTGCTACGGTATTGAATTCTCTGTCGATGACAAGTCTGTCCACCCAAACTCAAAGCCTAGGTTCTCCCCAAGGAGAAGCCCGCAGGAGAAATGTGGAAGGCCGCCATGCAAAGAGCAGCGAGACTGCAACTCAGAACTGACCAGGGTGCTTTCCCAGAAGGAATGTGGCCGGTGGAACCAGCCAGCTCCTGGTGTGGTTCTCACTTAGCATCTTCAGAACGCAGCCCAGCCCCATCACTTAGGAGGCTCCGAGGACCGAGTTCAGGTCTCATCTAACTTAATCCATCGCCATGCCCCACACGTTTTGCTAGGTGTGAAGACAGGCACGAGAGATTTTTTTCTTTTTTTTTTTAAATGACACGATTCTGACAACCTCAGGGCAACAGGAACTGGGCGCTCAGTCTAGCTGGAATTGAATCCTCCGATCTTTCCGACTCGACCCCCTTGACAGTTTTGTTCCTCGGTTTCTTCGTATGCAAGATAGGGCCACCACCCCTTATTTCAGGCATACGGGAGACCCACTAAAGCAGACGTTAACCCAAGCGTTTGGAGTGTTTAACCCCTGCCCAAGGAAGGCAGTCTACCACCGTGACTCACTCGCACGTGTCGTCCTCCTGAAAAACCCACGGTCTAACCAACCGGCCAGTACCGGTTGATCAGGAGAAAGACAAGAAACATGGACAACGGCTGCAGGACCCGGGGTGGCCCCCACCGTGGATTTGGCTCCGTGGGGCAGATTCAAACCCCAGCAGCCCTCATCCCAATATTCAGATACTTCAAAATCTGCTGGGGTTGTGCTGGTTCCAGGCCCTCACTCGGGCCAGTTTCTGAGTGAACAGTGTCAGGGGCCCCGGCCAATCAAAGCATTCTTGAACACAACACGAGTAAGCCAGGCGTCGCGTACCCAGTGGCATCTCTTTTAAACACACGCTTGGCCAAATCGGTTCCAACAGGCATAAACGAGGCTCTCTCTCCCAGAAGCCCTGGGGCTTCTTGT